CCGTCTTATTTTTACAACTAAGCAAAATCGAACAATAAAAGTTTAGCTTAAAAACATTGTCATAAAAATCTACATCCAAAAACACTAACAAATATATGGTGTTTCATTAAAAAAACACAAGTTTGTATTGTAACTTATTTTTGAGACACGCTGTATAGTTGAAAATAATTTTAGGCGATGAACTGGATTAGTATCTATCAATGTCCTATATAATTTTCTTTTAATTTTACTATTTAAATGTTACTAATGGACTTTTTCAACTCGCTGGGATACCCTGTATGTATGTATAAATAAACCAGAACGTATTTTTGTAGTTTTTTTTTAATTTTCTTTGATTTTTTTAAATTTTATCGAAAAACATTACCTCTGGACTGAGTTTTTATCTCGTAGTCTTGACCTACCTTAGACACAGCCCTGTCTAATTTTTTATTTAGTTCAAATTTAACAGTTTTTTGTCAATTATACGTTGTAATATAAAGATGTACAGCTGGTTGCCTACCCCAACAATGCATTGACGCCCCAATTTATAAAAGTGTTTTTTTAGTCTCATTTCGAAATGGTTCGTCGCACTTTTATAGGTTGTACGAAACCATTCCATAAATTAGATGACAACAGTGTTATTTTCATGGCACTCTATTTCTAGCGGTATCATTATGACTCTTACTTCCTGGGCATTAATAAAAAGTGATTCTTGTGAAACGAATCAAAAGCACTTTTGACAAGCACAAGAAAAACATTAAATAATTTCGTATGAGTCATTTTATCCGCGCTTTCTATAATAATTATTACATTATGGTTTTAGGAATTTTTATATTGTAACACGAAGTGTTTACCAAGACAAATAATCGATAAACAATCAGCTTAAATATGACCAAATTAACACGGAGAAGACAATAAAAATTGCACACAATGAATCAACAACAAACAAATATTCACACTTGTGACTTGTTTTATCAAAATCGCTTTCATTTTCTTTTCTATAAGCGGGATTTCCGGCACTTCGTGGGTGTCATTTAATTGATTTGATTTGCTAATTCAATGTAAGCGAGGAAATTTTCTAAATCATCATCTTTTTCTAAATTCGTAGAACTTGAAACAATATATTTTACGTCTTTTGAAATCTCGCCAGTGATTCTAAATTCTGTCTATAAATCTACCACTAAAAGCTGTCTCGTTCCCTAGTTTCGGTCATAATGGGCAATTAAGAGTTTCATATTAATTACCCCAAATATGGACTGGATTTAATTACATTTCAGGAATTTACAAGTAAATAAAAAAAATATATCAAAGCCAATTTAACAGCAACTCAATTACCCCACACCCATTTCGAAATTCTGTGTAGGTTAAAAAATTACGCCTTTGCATATTTTACACTATTTCCAAGTTTCTTTTAATAAAATAAAACTTCTGCGATCAATGTGACCCATTTATTTGGCCATACTGTATAAATACATAACTTTACAAGTCCTACATGCATTTTATGTTAATAAACATTCGCATGAAAATATAAATATTCAATTTTTTATGCGTAAGCACACCTATAATTATTTTATTACGGAAAATGTATGTAAATTTATTAAATTAGATATAGTAACCTTTAGAAAGACCATTGCTAAGAGATCTATTCTCAAAACAGCAATTTTCTAAAAAAATTAAACAAAACTTGCAATTTTTGTTCATGTAACTGTAAATAAAATTATTCCGCTTTTAGTTACCAAATTATTACATTTGTTCTCAGAACGATAGATATGTCACCACCAACTCATTTCAAAACCATTAGCTGTAAATTTATATACAATCACTCGAAAACGTATCCATCAATTAATCAACAACAATATAATAATACCAGTGTTCTGTACTATTTGGTGATAAATCTAGTATTTTGAGAACATAGTAATTATTCCGACAATAATTATTAGTTATATTTATTTACAAACTGTTACAAACCTCAATTTTAAAGACACTTATGCTAATCTTGAGATAGAAAATAATTCCTTTCGTTGATACAAAAAAAGTAGTTATTTATTTTGGTGACGGGTTATATTTATTCCCAATAAAAATTACTTTGTTATACAAATAAAAGTAAAATTTCCATTGTTGGTGTTTTCTATTACTCGTACATATTGAAATGTAACTTTAATTTGTGAATAAATTTATTTATTTATTTGAAGGCATGCTTTGCAACAATCACTTTGTAAATTCTATAAAAATTAAGCAATTTTTCAAAGATCTTTAAATAAAAAAAAAAATAGTTATTTGTATTACAAAGGAGGAAAGTGTATCTTTTCCTCTCGCCGGTGGAAGTTACTGCTCGGCAATTTCCTCCGGTCTAATACATAAATTTTTCCTACAATCAAGCAAGAAAAACTTCAAAATTAACAATTTTTCTTGATATCGTAATTTTGCCATCAAAACAAGCGTGAGGAAGCTAATTGGCCACTATTAAAAAATAATTATAACTGTATTCCAGAGCACAAAATAAAAAATTAAATAAGTCCTATCAAAGTAACTGTATAGAAATATAAATACATATAATAAGAATGCAAAATACTGACATGAAAAACAAAATAAATTTTTGGACCCTAATCTAATAACTAACATATTATTAAGTCTTTGTTTTCTGTTAATTTCAGTCTTTTTTCTGTATGAATTGCTTTGAAAGTCCCTTCATCCTCTGCATTTTTTTTAATCTACAATACAAGCCAAATTGGTCATTAGAAGCGATTTTTAAGTATTTCTACTTTTAGTAAGTTGAGTTGTTTTTTCACAATGACCACATTTGAACATTTGAAATGACGTCAAACAAAAACTTTGTAACTTAAAAGACACTTATTTGTTTTTGCTGCAAATGAAAATCTCAAAAAACTGCACATTTAGGTTTGATTATCACTAAATCGGGACAAATCAGGACATAAAACAAGACAAAACAATAAAAACCTAAACATGTCCTGGCTAAATCAGGACGGTGGTCACCTTAGGCCACTTTCCTGAAATTAGGGTGGAAAAGCTTAATTTCTGTTAGGGTCGCAGGAAAAAGCTTTTCCGTTTTTCTCGGTAAATTTTAAAAGTTATTATTTTCCCAAAAAAAAGATCCTTGACATATTCGAATTCCCCGGATAATTTTACTTGAAAATTCGTCGATTCTGAGGTGGTCCGGTGATTCTGGGCTTCCAAAAATGTTAAAAATTCTTGGTAGTGCAAAGTTGATTTAGTCCAATTTTTAAGTAAAAATAAGCAATGGAGCAAATTGAGTAAATCTCAGATTCTCGGAAAAAGTATTGAAATAGCATTTTAGAAGTCGTAAGTTTTTCTAGAGTAGGTCGAAATGGACAATTCAAATGTATGTTCTACGAAATTTACGACCGGTGCTAAAAATACCGATCGTTTATTATAAATCGATCGGTTTCTGGTAATGTGACGTCAAGCCGCCAACTGACGAATCATAAAGTGACCAAATGTGAATTTTTTAAATTGTGCGAATTCAAGCAGTGATGCCAGATTAGGCAATTTTTCCCTAGTTCTAGGGGTTTTTCTAACAAAAAGGGAAAAAGGGATTTTTTCTTCGTCAAATTAGCGCGTTTGTATGTATATGAGTTTAGTAACGAGGAAACCAAAAATGTATTTTCTGTAGTTACATGTTTAAGGACAAAAACAAGAACAAGATAGGAAGTGCACTAAAAGCGTTTTTCGCGTTGCCAAGTTTACTAATTCTTGTAATTCATTTAATGTTTTAGACGAATATTTAAAATTAATGAAATGCCATAATTTATAAGTATAAATAAAAATTAAGTAGGTATCTAAATATACACGTTTATTTGAATTTGTTTTAATTGACTTGTATTTTATTTTTTTAT